TCTCTTATACACATCTATATATATATATAAGTACACAAGTGGTTCAGAAAAATTCCAGCAAGTTAACAATGCAGACTTTATAAAGGACTATTTACTTTGACAGTTACCGATTCTCTAACTTTGAAGAGTGCAATGTAAGTCATACGAGAGAATGAAGGCAAAGACTGAAATACATTTTTCAAACAATTTGTTTATGGCTTGAAATTAAGTTTTGTGCTACATTTTTGTAGCTCATTCTTATGCCAGAATCTCTTTCTGAGAATTAATGCTGCTGATAATGAGCTTGAGCTGGCAGTTCTTGAAGTCTAATACTCATCGACTGAACCGTGAATTTTAGCTGAATGGAGGAGAAAGGATTTACAGTTTCCAACCATAGTTGCCACACAATCATTCTGGTAATGGCCAGATGTGTGAGGCTTTCTCAGTCTCATGCCTATGCACACAGACAAGCATCATGTAACAACACAAAAATACAGGTTATTCTTTTCTGTATAGGTACACTTCAAATCCCTTTACACAGATATAATTGTACCCATGCTAAGGGGAGAGCTGACTTTACTAGTACAGGTTTAATTACAGCAATGGGACTTAGATGTGCTGAGAAAGGTTCAAGCTGAAGTCATTTTCAGAGCACTGCAAATATCCAAACTGTTTTTTTCTGCAGGATGCACAGAGGAACATACAGTACTGACACAAGCTCTATGTAACAGGCATCAGTAACATCACCACAATCAGATTTGTCACCTATCCAGAATTTCAGACAGGTTCAAGTTTTAGGCCAAAGTCTAAAGCCTGTTTCTTTCAGCATTACTGTCAGCAGTACATGATACTGGATCTGCATCAGGCCATGGGCACAGGGCACGCCACGATCTTGTATATTTACGCATCCACACCACCCCCAAGGAAGATGCTGTCCCAAGCTTCCTAATTCTATTAATAACCTCATATGGGCCACACCTGAGCGTGATCCCTTCATCCACTCTTCAGTCTACTCAGAAGCAGCTGAATATCCACTAAGCACTGACTTCAACTACACAGTAAGCACCTCCACAAAGGTAACAACCAATTGTTAGTAACTGCCTGGACAGAGTCTCTCACCCTGTGGCTCACAGACAGCATCAAAATAAGAAGCCATCACCATGTATCATTTGGAAGTACATCATAAACAGGTACCAGTACACACTGAACAGTTTAGAAAGCTATGGCAGTTTAGTCAAGATTTATTTAGGAAATATCAAGTGACAACAAGAACTGAAAGTGCTTGCGGTTCTACCTACAATAAAGAAAGCAATTAGCCTGCAGAACTTGCCAGAAACTTACAATCCCTTTAGGCATTTCAGTTAAAAAATAAATTCCAGCAAGATACTTAGCTACCTAAACATGCTACCCTAAATAAATAAAAACCCCTTAATGTCAACTAATTCCATATATGTTAAGTACTGATGCATAACAATCCATATTGGACTTACCATATGAGAGATTTCCCAGGAATACAGATCGTTTATTGTCATGCTGAAGAAAACAAGAGATACGAGACAGTAAACTATTTGTTACAGGAAAAAAACCCCCAACACACCAAAAAACAGAAAAAGTGTTTTCTAGTCACACATCTTACTTACCGAACTGCTTTTTGATGCAATGTCAACTCTGATGTGAAATCCACTAGCAATTTCTGTTCCGTTTCTTTTGTAGCCAAAAGCATAGTTTTAAAAATTGAGTGTTACTTAATTTACAATGTTACTGCACAGCATTATTAAAAAAACAAATTTGCTTTTAAGTTTGAAAAATGTATTTTATTCTGATTCAAGCAAAAGAGAGGAAGTAGTTTAAATGTATCCATAAATCTACCTCTTCAACAGGGAATGAGGAACAAAACTGAGACTTACTCTTTCAGAGCCTTAATAGCATCACATTCTTCCTTAAATACAATGTAAGCATTAATGAACTTCGCATTAGGGTGCACCTTATGCCTGGAACATGAAAAAATGTTTAAGTAATTCTGATGGTGTGCAGTGCACAAGTGCTTCTTGTTAAACACATTTATGCCTCTTCCTGCTTTGTGCACAGTAACAACTTTGCTTCTCTTAAAGGTCAAGCTAGTCCCTTATGTCCAAGGGAGTCTCACTGTATATCTTATATAGCCCTGATCAACCTTCCTCAGTTCATAAATATATCCAAAGGAATTAGACTACTAGCATCTTCCTCCTTCCTAAAATATAAGAATAAATATAAAAAATGCAACCTAAGATAATTAATTACTAGTATACCAGGCACATAATTCTTCTTTCACTTGTGAAGACAAAAAACTTAAGACACACACAGAGGTAATTACATAAGTCAAAGAAACACAAAATAAGAAAATTAATGTGGACAAATATGTAACAACCAACACTTAAAAATTATTTTTGCCTTGACAAATAAAGCATGAAATTTACAAGAGGAACCTACTTTATCGCTGCTAACTTTTTGGATATAGTATCTTCAGCTGGAACCTTTAAGATAGAAAGAGCTTTAGTTAAATAGGCCTAGTGTCAATTTATTTCAAATACTTGTTCTTGAAGACAAAGAGGAATTCAAACCAGTAACATTCCCACCTAAAGCAACGTAGCCAGTACAGCGAGCAAACAATGAAAGTGGCTATTCCTAGAGATGATCTAAAAAGACCTCAGTATTAGATAGCTTGCTTTGACTTCATGTTACATTTCTTGAGGTCCAAGACTTATCTTCAACTGTTTTACAGAGTACACTGGTTTACAATCAGCATACCTTTGCCACTATGATTTAAAAAAAGGTAAGTAATACTTTAGCTAAACGAGCAATAATAAAGGCATTCTTCTTCCAGACAAAATCCAGCTCTGCTACTAAAAGAGTAAAATGTGATAAAAGATGCGTCTGTGGTGCCTCTGTGTAAAATCTCCAAGGCTTTTTCTAATGGCTAAAAATACACACACCCAAACCTGCTTCTGAACTAATGAAGATACAAGCCTTATGAATACCACCCTCTAATATAAAAAAATAATTTTGTTATATAACATTAGATGAATAACATACCAAAGACCGGAATCGAATGGATTTTATTTGTCCATACTCTTTAAAAAGAGATTTCAGTGCCTAAACAGAAGATATTACAAATATTCAATACATTATTGCATTCTAGTAATAATTATTATTGTTGAATATTTATTAATAAAATGAAAGTAGTGTAAAAACAATCTTTACTATACAAGGTCTGTTAAAGGACTACTTACAATACGCCAGTAATTTTTAACTGTTTCTGTGTTTCTTGTGGCAGTTTTCTGTCCTACAGATTGCCAAAACTGAAATCGCATCCCTTATTACGGAAGTATAAATTTAACAGATGCTACACAACAATCTGAAGTATTATTTGCATTCAAAATTGGAAGCAGACTAACTTTGTAGTTCTCATTTATTGTCATTTTTCACTGAAAAAGAAACTAACCTATCCTACTAAAGAAAGAGTAACTGCACCCACTGCCGTAAAGAGCCCAACTCCAGGAAAACAAAAGAGATTGCCTCTAAAGGTTTCTGTCAATGAGCATTATGTCCTACTTTCCCAAAAAGCAATTTTAGTCACAAATACGTGGGACTCTTCAGCTGGAAACATCCCTCCAAACTAAGGACTGTTGTAATTCTTACTCCTTTAGCTAACAGAATTCACTCACATACCTGAGCAGTACAGTTGACGGGCAAGTTTCCAACAAACACTGTTCTTCTGTTTACCGTTTCATCAGGCACCTTTTTTTCCTTTTGTTGTTTTACAGTAGTGCCTGTAGCGGAATTAGCAACACTTTTGGTGATGGCTTGAGAAGTCCTTTTTTTTTGCTTCTCTTTGTTTTGAAACAGTTTCTGCTCCTCCTCTTCGTCTGCCTGCTCCAAAGCACGCTCTCTTATCAGAAAGAGACAAGCAAATTGTAATTGATGGGAAAAAAACAGAGTTTTTGAGGTCAAAGAACTGAAGCCTCCAAAGTAAATATTTTAACTTGCATTTCAAAATATTATGTTCAACATAAAATGTCAAACGTTATTATGTTTATTATGCATTAAACAAACATATCCCATAACACAAAAACTATCTGCTAGCCCCAGGTCATTGCATTTGCTATTTCATAGGAATAATAAAGAAAGAATTCACAATGAAATAATTTGACATGCTCTAAAATCAAAGGGGGGGGAAAAAATTGTATTCACAGGCTAGAACTCAGGCGAGATTTACTTCTTCGCAGTATCCAGAACACTCAGAGCAATCCTTTGGAACCAATCCGTGCACTAACAACCCTGCATCTATTCAAACCTGCCGTAACAGCATGAACAAGAAGCAGATCTGAAGAAGCCTCTGAAAGCTACCAACACCAAAACAGCAAACAAGTTTCATGGGCATGGGAGATGCAACAACGCCTAGCACCAGTGAGAGGACAAGGCATTAGCCTCGAGCTACAATCAAGGAAGCTTCATTATCCAAACTTTGCTGTATGGAGACCAGCTTCCTACCTGCACCGACCGTGTCCTGGCTTAACCCGGAGTATTTACGCCAACGGACAGTGCATCGGAGCAGTTCTGTGCCACAGCAGAGGGCAAGCATAAGGACAACTAACTCTGCTTAGTACCTTGCTGCTGCTGAAACCACCTATGCTCCTCTGTCTGCTGGACAAAGCCAACTACAGTTAGAAAGCATCACCCCGTGCCAGAGAGCACTTGTTGTCCAAATCTACAACCTCTGGACCTGTTAGCTCTTAACAGGGGATCTGCACTTCATGGACCTCAAACTTCAAGAAGTTGGAAGACAGAAGTTACTATCTTCTAGGGCAAACCACAGAAAATTTTGACAGTCTCCTTAAAAATAGCCTTCTTAAACACATGGTTCAAGACAAAGAGCTAAACAGAACTGTACTGTTTCACTGAACTCATAATCTTATCATTAAACTGGATCATTTTTAAAAATTTTACTATAAAAAGGTATTATCTACTCACCTGTTTGTCAATTTTTTCTCTGCTTTTGAAAGTTCCTTTTTTGCTCTTCTGGCTTTCTTTGCCTTTAAAGGAGGTTCTTGCACGACAGATGAGCTCTGGTCTTCTGACACCTCTTCCACTTCTGTACGCTTTCTCTTCTTAGTTTCCTTTTTAAAAAATGAATTAACTTGAAAAATAAAATTCCAGAAATACCCTACAATTACTTTATATATTCTAATCTATTTGGACTGAGTCAAGAAGTGCAAGAAGCGATGTGTCCCACACCCAGATTTACCCGCTCACCGGTGCACCCACTCTGCTGGTCTCACCCCCCCTCGTCACGGCAGCTCCAGGC